GGTAGAGAATAAAGAGTATGTGTTACTAGCATACTAATGTTTCCCTGCAAATGTGTTTCTTCTTGAAATATTCTGAATCTAGCAAAAAGAAATATTATTCCCAACTCCTGGAAAAACAGAAGCTTATCCTAAAATGGAGGTTCATGAATGGAAAGGACAGAAATGATAGAGTAGCTGGTCTATTGGAACTTATGATAATAGGATTAAACTATTTCACATAAAAGATTCACATTAAAAAAGCATTTTAGGATGAATAACTTGTAAATTTCGATCCAAAAACAGAAAATAACATGTTCAAAACTAAAGAACTTGATTATATCTTTGGGATATCTTCCGTAAGGCCTGGATCAAACCAATTAGTCCAAAGTCATCTGAAACACTGATTAGCTTTTTAATGAAAGCATAAAATATCTACCAAATCATAAGCCACCTTGGAATTATATATATGAAAGATCTTCCACTAGATTAATATTTTGGCATCATTTGTACATAATTTTCAGCTTGTAACAGAAAGGTTACTTAGCAGAGTTATTGAGAGACAGTTTATTATAGTGGTCAAAGCATAAGTCTAGAAACTGAGAGACTATGAGTTCTAGTCCCACCTGGGGCATAAAGCCAACTGGTTGATTTGGGGTTAGTCAGTCTCTCTTAGTCCTAGGAAGCAGGCAATGACAAATCATTTCTGAAATCCTGCCAAGAAAACTTTTAGAACTTGTCCAGGCAGTCTTTAGGAGTCAATACTGACTCAAAAGCATAATAAAGTAAAATATAAAATAAAATAAAACATAAAATAAAATAATAAAATAGAATAATAAAATAAAGCAGAGTAATGCAAAATGTTCTGAGTTCAGAATATGCCAAGCTCAGAATAAGCTGTTTCAAGTGTTCCAAGAATCCTGCATTTCAAAGTTACGTTACAAATTTCAGATGAAAGAAGGACTATTCCTGAGTCTATGTAAAGCAACGTGTATTTGCTGTGATACAGAGATCTGCACTCGGAACCTGCATTATAGAGCATATCTGCAACTATATTAAAGCATATGGTTGGGAACTGGGTAGTTGAAGAAGGGTTAACACATCCACAGTGCATCAAATTAGTAGGAAGTTGTATCAAGTTATTGGTGTGAATGCTATCTGAGATCAGGTGACAGTCACATTTTGTAATATGTAACATGTGTAAATAACTGAATAGAATAGAGACCCGCTAGTCAAGGTGTTAACCATGAGAGGATACACTATCTGTGTTTTAGGGACTACTGTATATAGTCAAGCAGTAAACTGTAGGATAAACAATTATAGGAAGACGAATTTCAGGTTGGCTGTGGTTGAAGCTAACTGATAGCAGCATTGTTTAGTGATATTTTTAGCATCATTTCTATGAAAATGGCTTGTTTGTAAATAGTTGCAAGCTGAACTTCCATTTAAACCACTCTCCCTTTCTACACTATTATCTGATAAGGCTACAGTATGTGTGTGGTGCATTGATCTCTTTGATTCTAACCTTCATTAATTTTAGAGATCCCCGAAGATGGAGCAACTTTGGTGCCAGCTAATTAAATGCTCTCTAGAGTTTCTCTCCATGCATTTTACTAGGCTGAAATGAACTCTTTTTCTTTCAATGCAATCTACAAAGATTTTTTTTCCCCTAGCTATTACTAATTAAATGATGCTGTAAGAATTTCTGTTACATTTTTAAACATCAGGGAAACAAAACTGCACATCAAAATTCAGGTAAACACTCCAAAAAGGGGGGAAATCTTTTTTCACATTTTGTTACTAGCTGGCACCCTTTCACATATAGCTTAAATTCTCCTTTCATCTCAACCTGTGTATTTAATAATGCCCTGAATAATGCTAACGAAATACTGGAAGAAGCTGTCAGCTTTTGAGCACCTTCAAGACTGTACAAACTAAAAACACATTAGTATGAAAGTTTACCTGCCACAGTATAATTTTTATGCACAACAATAATTCAGAAAAGGAGACTATACAGTGACTTAAAGTACCCTTACTAATTAAAAGTATCCAAAAAGAATAAACTTGCCTTCACATTCATATTGAGCTGGAAACGAGAGCAATTACAATTTTAGCAGCCTGTTTATGAAATCTATTTTTTACTTGGTTAAGAGCTATTTGGGAACCTGGAGAGTTAATTAATGGTAAAAGAGCTTTGTGTGTGTGTGTGTGTGTGAGAGAGGGGGGGGGCAATGGAGAAAATAATCTTGAGTTGCATACATGGAGGGAATCTTTCCAAACTATGATCCATTGCTGAAAGAATACCTTATCCCACCAAAACAACCAGTTAAAATATAATCTGAATAAATTAATAATTATTGTTAGGCTTCCCATTTATTGTATCTCAACATCAATGAATGAAAAATAATAGAGAAATACATAGTGGCGTAGAATGGAGTGAGAAGTGAGTAGGGACTTTGATGATATTTTGCCATCAATCCTAAAAAAATCTTATTATTGGATTCTTAAAAATGCTAGTTTGGGCTCTTCTGTCAGCATATATAAATAGAATTAGTAAATTCTTAATTTTGTTACATTTTGCATTACAGAATGTACAGACTATACTATGTACAGACTATAGTACATGCCTCTTAACTATCTCTGAGAAATATACAATATAGATACTGTAATGACAGAAGCATTTCATTTTGCAGGATCATCTCACTCTGCAGAACCATCAAATGTCTGATAATGGCTCAACAAGCTAGAGTTTTGTTACTTTGCGAGACTATGATCACACATTAGCCATATACAACATTTCCACAGTTAATATTTTAAGAATAAGCCTCCCAAAATTTCCATTTCCAACACAAGCTGTGCATTTGTGTGTCCTATGAGAGGCATTTGGCTTCCTCCTAATTTTGCTGCAAAGTCAGAGCATTGTTTAATACCACCCTAATGGAAGAAAAGTTATTTATCTGTGGAAGCAAAAAATATCCGACTTTACTAACAAAACAAGAACTAAGGGAGAAAAATCAAGAGTGAACAAATGTTTAATGGTTTGGCAAGACATGTGTGGACATTTTCTTCACACATGGAGCTCGGTTACTATTTGACAGTTCAGCAAATGTCTCACAAACAGAATAAATTTCTATGTCTGACTCTGCTGTCTCCGTGGGGCCAAGACTGAGACAGCAACATATGGAACATGGCAGAAGAGTCAACATGGCCCACAAGACATGACTGCCTTGTACTTTGATCTAAAACTCATTCATTGGAGTCCTACTCTACTCTAAACTCCATTAGGTGTTTTTGGCAAATTGTTATATATATAGCAACTCTTTTATATAGAAATGAGGCGTGGTGGCACAGTGGTTGGAATGCAGCATTGCAGGCTAATTTTGTCAACTGCCAGTAGTTATACAATAATACAATAATACTAATGCTATATCTTTGCTGCAGGTATAAGTCAGTGTTTGCAGAGTTTGCTGTGTTCTATAGAAAGCTACATATAAAAAATAGAAGACTTTTTCTATGCATCTCTACACTCAATCTTTTCTTCACTGTGGACCCCCTTTTGTGGCCATGGACTACAAAACTCAAGATTAAATCATAACATTTCTTCAAGTCTTTGACCCCTGGTGATGACATTGTGGCTCCCCCAGGGGTCCACAGACCACAGGTTGAGAACCACTGGATTAGAGTGTTTGTATGATATAAGAAAATATCAGTTACAACTCTCTCCTTTTGCTTACTAGGGCTACATTTTAACATTTTTCTTGCCTTAACATTCATGCAACATACAAATCCATACTGTAAAAAAAAAACCTAACGTTTTTTTCAATCAATGAATGTATGAATTTATTGTCAGTTCTATTTCAAAATCCTGTCTTTCCTGTGCTACATTTCCTTTCTCTTCTCCTGCTATTTCCCACTATTAACTTTCACACAATCAACTTAGGGTGCAGCGATCTTTTACGCTCTGTATAGCGCTGTGTAAGCTAGTGATACTTTACAAAAAAAGCTTTATTAAGCACATTTTGTCCTTTCAAATTTAGTTCCTTTGGGAGCATCCAAAGACATATAACATTTATTCAAAAAGTTGTAGAAAAAGCTTCAAAATCCCCTTTTTTCTCCCCTCACCTTTCTCTTCATGACCAGAAAAAAAAATCTCTAGCTAAGACATTTTAATTTCATTTTTTTGTTTAAATAACACCTGGGTTGTATTACTTCAATTTTTGAATCTTGTATAGTTTGTTCCACAAAATTGGCCTAAGAGGTTATAAAGCACTTTCTGTTCTCTCTTTGTAAGTGACCACAACAGTGCATCCTTAAATGGCCCAACTAATTGTTCAATCTATTTTCTGCTCTTCAAATTTTACAAGGCTGCTTTAATACAAACATCTGGAGCTAAACAGAACATAAGAATAGTCTATAGCAGACATGTCAAACTCGCGACGTCACGCAACGTATTGGATCTTTTCCCCCATTGCCGGCAATGGGGTGGGCGCGGTTTCCTTGTGACACATCCAGCCGGTGGGCCGACAGTTTGACACTCCTGGTCTATAGTATCTACCTTGGGATACATTATCATCCCATGCTTATAAAAACACCAAAAGGCTTGAAACTTCATAAAACCTCTAACAAGCAGTACACTAATGCATTTTTCTCTTGTGTTTCTTTCTGTATATGGCCAACTACAGTACCTGTATATCATTTGACAGTACCAACCTAAACACTTTAAAGCATGGAAATTGGCACCTTAAACAAATGGAATGACGTAAACATACAGTATTAAAATCCTTTGTATACACATGTATGTTTGAGGATCTTAGCCAAAAAGAAAGAAAATGATGATTAGAAGATGATAGATAGGACTTTTTTCTAGTCAAGTGCAAAAACACCAGCCAAAAGAGTGTATCCTTTTAAAACACTAATTTGAGAGATTGATTTATTGGTGAAATGTACAGATTTTTTTTAAAAAACCCAGTACTTTCTTGTTAAATTAGTGAAATAATTATTTTGGTCTGCAATGCAGGACTTACCGATCCTTCCCAGTTTCCTTTTTAAAGATCTCATCACAGTAGCTCATGCGTTTTTCAGTGGTCACATAGATTTTGGCCCCAGGATAACTGTCCACAGTCTTCTTCAGCATATTATATACAATGCCACTTCCATCTTTTCTCATATTTCGGAAAGGTCCCCAGATGACGTAAATTGTACTATTGGTTTCCTTGAAAAAATAGTCTGCATTTTTAAGCAAAAGAGGGACGCTGGTATGGGAGACGACTCTTACGGTTGTACTTTTTCCAACATCTTCTTCATAGCCCTTGGTGGGAGCATTATTCATTCTCCATATACAGGAAGCCTGGTCAATTTCAGATCCTACTTTCTGTTCTGTCATCTGACCTGAGTTTGAAATAATGGCACAGAGATCACACTCCAGCTGCAAAGGCTGTTTAGAAAGGAAGGGGGAAAAATAGTCAATCAATTTTGCCCGAGACTTGGAAGCAATTGGGGAGTAGGGGATCTAAAGATCTGGAATCAGGTTATATGGATCATATGCATGAATAAGTACACACCAAAAATCTCTATCGACCACTAACAACAGTTATATCAATGAGTATCAGGGACCAAACTTTCTACAGGATAACCCATGCCTTTCTAGAAGATGTGTTTTCTTTCACTTCTTCGTGACTTTTAGATATGTATGTGTGTGTGTGTGTGTGTGTATAATTTTATTTAACTTATGAATAAGTATAATGTAAAAGCCAGCAATGGGTTTAATTTAGAGGGTACCAAGTAAACTCTGACATAAAATTCTCTTTTTCAGCATCTTTTTATCCTCAGTCAGAATCTGCTGCTTAAGGTAAGTAGCTCACTTGTCTAATTGCAGCCCTGACTGTAATGCAAAAAGGATAGCTGAAGAAAACTGCAGTGTGCACAAAAGTAGATTTAGAAAGAGCAAAACAGGAAGAAGCAACAACAGCATATTAGAGATAAAAGTTTGCCGAAGGGAATTTTGATGAAAGAAATTGCGACATGAAAGAGGCAGAATTATAGGAGATGAGCAAATGAAAAGGAAAGGCCAATAGAAAGAATTGTGGAACTATTAAGATAGGGCATAAAAGAAGCTTTCTAGACTTCTTTCTGAAGCATATTCATTGTGCATTTAAAAAAGAAAAGCGAAGGTCAGCAGGTTGGAAGTTCAATGCATATAAATAAGGTATCCTGAGATGATAAGCAACGTGGCCTGTGCACATCAATATATCACCGATCCAAATGTCAGCTCACTTTGGATCAATTTGGATCACTGATTCAACTGGAATTTCTGAACTATACTGGATTTCCAAATCAGATAATTTAAGGAAGTCAAACTGATTTGGAAAGTAAATTAAATTTAGAAAAGGACCTTTCTGCAAATAGGTACCCAGCCACAGAGTCATTGGCTTAGTTTGGAAACAAGTGATTGGATGATTTAATCCAAAAAGTAAATTTGATTCAGAGGCAATCAAATAATTTTTTACCCTAAACCATCTGAATCTCAGTTATTTGCACATTACTTCAATCCTGTGCAAGCTTAAATAGTCCAGATCTGGTATAATACAATTATTAGAAAACTAACCTTATTCCATATGGTATTCAGATAAATATATAGAACATAGAATAACAGGGTTGGAAGGGATCTTGGAGATCTTCTAGTATAACTCCTGTTCAAGCAGGAGAACCTATATCATTTTGGACAAATGGTTGTCCAATCTCTTCTTGAAAAGCTCCAATATTGGAGCACCCATAGCTTCTGGAGGCAAACTTAATTAATTGCTTTCACTGCCAGGAAATTTCTCCTTAATTCTAGATTGGATCTCTTTAATAATCTTTGGAGAATAGGTTAACCACTGCTTCTCTCTGGCAACCCCTCAAATGTTGGAAGACTGCTATTATTTCATACCTTCTTAGACTAGAGTCGACATACCTAGTTTCCACAACCATTCCTCATATGGTTTAACTTCCAGAGCCCTTATCATTCTTGTTGCTCTTTTCTGCACTATACATGTCTAATTGAAAGAGGGCAGTTAAGAAAATAAAATAAGTGCAAAATGTTGAAGGGAAAGAAAAGTGAGTATAAATAAAATAAAACTCATTTGTTGGCATAGCTATTTAATAATAGGGTGGAAATGCCACCAGCAAAATTTCTCTCTCTTTTTATGTCATCACTGAACACTGCCTAAAATGTTTACTGCATTCTCTGTGATTTTAAGTCAGTCAGATAATTATTGCTTGCTTCAAAATCTCTTTTTCCATTCCAAAATGGACTGTAAAGAAGAGCAAATACATTCATTGATCTGCGGTCAGTACTGCTTTGACACTAAAAACATGAGATATATTAATTCACAATTTTTTCTAATGCATTTTTGACAAAATATTTATTAATAGAGACATAAAGGAACCAAATATGTATTTCCTTGATAAGATATGGGAAATACTGAAAGTTCAAATGATCAAGATAGATCCTGTCAATCTTCTATAGTCTGTGTTATTTCTCAATATATATATATATTATCACCATTAGTATGTAGCTTCAGTGCATATTAGTATATGTAGCGCTAATACATACTTTGTATCAGTGTTTGTTAATATTAATACAAGTTCATGGGATGCAGGCAAACACTTTGCAAGTGTTTAGATTACAGATCCTCCTTGCATCAAATAGTCTGAGCATGCTTGGAGTGAAACTGAATTTCAATTATGGATGGCCAAAATATGCAAAAATTCTCTTTACTTTTAGCAGACAATGCTGCATATGGCAGAAATGCTATTAAATCTGGTAACCTACTGTCTGTCTTACTAAAGACTATTACACAAAAGTTTTAACTGACCAAAGAATGGATAGATAGCAGAGATCAATATCTATGGACTCATGTAGGGATGTCAGATGTTCTAGGAAACATCATTAAATGAACTTATTCTACATTATTGTAAGGCTATCTTAATAGAATCTTGCAAGTCAGGAAGTATAAACCTACCACACCCATTTTTAACTGCTTGACCCATTTCAGTCGGTGCTTCCTAAGTTTTTTTCTCTGACCATTAAGGCACTGGGGGCTCTTGTCTGATTGTTTCCTAGGCCACATCTCTTCCCTTCATTCTCTAAGATCCACCCACACAGTCCATTAAAGGTGGCAATGTGGCATATGGAAGTTATACTCTAATACTAAGAAGATCTGATCAGGGAATCAACCACATGAAAGTTAAAACTCTATTACTAAGACTGACTACAATAAGTCTACAAGTTTGATTGTAGAAATGGGAGTAGTCTCTTTGAGCCACTACTGAATGTCACCTCAATTTTCTAAATTTAATGTTTCAGCCCTTCTTGCTTAGTTAACACTTCCTGCATATCTTAGTGAAGGCCATCTTTCTTGACTACTTCCTAGAGTCACGCAAGAATAAATGGTAGAGATAATAAATAACAAATGGAATGAACATAAGAAAAATAGATGTGATGTGTACCTGTGAAACAAGAGAAAATAGAAAGATGTAATAATTGATACTGTATATGAATAAATGTAGCCTTGAGGAATGGAGTTGAGAGTAGATGTAAAATAGGGAAGGCATAGGTTTAATTATAAGTGAAAGTGTTAAACTATGTGCAAGGGTTAGTATTTAAGTATAAATGGGTTGCTGTAGATATGTATGGAAGCATAAATCCATAAACTGAAGAAAGTCACATGTTTTGCTCCAGTGAATTATAGTAATGGAAGAACCAGATTAGAGTTTTGATCAATATTCCACAATTTTCTGAATGAAACTGGTTCAGGGGAAAACATTTTGCTAGGCAACATGAATAAATGGTTGGGCATGAGACCCCAGAAGGCAGGGAAAAAAATGATTGGATCATTTGTAGAGATCACAATGAATAAGAGTGTTGATTTCTGTCAAATATCTGCTCAGAAACCATTTGCTTATTCTTGTTTGGAATATATTTTGCGATTTAAGCATAAGTCACATTGCGCATATTCATGGCAATGAAACAAATATAAATTTAAAACTTGAGGCGACCGATGAAAGATATAGGATATAAGATGATCAGAAATTTTTAAATGTGGTTCAGATTGTTTCTTAATGTCCAAAAGGAATTTTGAGAAAAAATAGAGTTGAAAAGACAATGAAAGAAGTAAAAGAAATGAGAGTGAAAATGAAATGATTGCAGAAAAAATGTATATAAATAGTATAGGAAAAAGTAGTAGAAAAAAGATTAATCACCCAATTGCATGAATGGAAAATGGATGTAATGAAGCAATACATGCAAGATGCCTGGGACAGAAGAAATTGTATTTATATATCTCTATCCCTGTTTCTATCAGAGTGCCACAGAAATATGTGAGAAATATGAAAAAGAATGATTGGTGGAATTTGAAAGAAACTACAGATGAAGAAAACCGCATATAAGGGAATAATCACTACAACAGATGAGAAAGAGAGATTGTATAAAGAAAAAAAAGATTGTTGCAAAGAATGCAGTCAAAGAGAGCAGTGATTGGCTAATATTAAAATAGGCAAAGAAAATACCAAGCAATTTTCATGGAAATAAAAAAAAAACCGTCTTGGAGGTGGGCGAAAATTGCTAAACCAGATGCTTCCGGCATGGTGAATGGACTTAAAAATAAAAGTGATGAATTGATTTGCAATGAAGCTGAAGAGAGAGAATGCTGGAAGGAGTATTTTAGACTTTGTACAGGAGTGATATTGATATGTCAATGAGTGAAACTGAAATGAAGGCAATAAATATTAGGGTCCAAGAAACCACTGATGAAAAGGAAGTAATAAATGCTGGGAGTATATTGAAAAATGGTAGAGTGACAAGTATTGATGGTATAACTGGACAACTGTTAAAATATGATGTAATTTGCTTCCATAGTCGTTCAGTGTTAGTAGGAAATAGAATAAGGAAACGTAATGGATCTATGGATAAATATATGGGAAATGTTTGTGGTGGCATGTTGGCTGGGAGGATGTGAATGTGCATTTACTTTTCTGTGAAAACAATGCTGTGTTATTGGCAGAGAATGAGAATTCTTTGCAATAAACTTCAGATAGTTTGCATGACACAATGAGCAATATAGTTCTGAAAAATAATGTATCAAAGAACAAGATAGTTGTGTTTGACAGGAAAACATTTGAACATTTGCAGATCATAAAACGATATAATGCGGATTATGTAGATGAAGTAAATACATTTATATTCCTAGTAAAATGTTTAGCAAAATCTGAAAAACAAATGGAGAAATGTTAAGATTTGCAAATGCTAATAGAATGTTAGTTGATTTGGATAAGATTCAGAGTTTTAAAATAAGCAACAGTTTCCTAGTGCATTCATTACTAGAGAATTTAGCAGTGAATTCATTAATTGTGAACTGCTTGAACTTGTAGATTGCTTAACTGAAGGGCTAATGG